ACTCTAAAAGAAATCAGATATTGCTTATCCCATTGCCCACGAGTTTGTTTTCCCCAGACAAGATAAAGTCCAAATGCTAGGGACTGTGAGCTTCTCTAACGCATAGAAATATATACATACATACCAATATAGATACATAGACATACAGATACCCACAGACCCAAGCCAAACAAATAACCATCCAGTCTTCTACCTCCTCTAAGCCGCCTGTTTTCCAGCAATTCCTTTGCGCCATCATCTCACAAGCTACACTGACCATGGAAGACCTTTGCAAGCTTTTATAAAACATTTTTGCTTTTAAGCAGATGCTAAAAAAAGCCATCTTCCAGTTTGCAGAATTCCATTGTTGGTTTGTTTTTTTTTTTTTAAAAAAAGAACAGTTTTAAAATACATACCACTGCACCTCATGGTTCCTTAAGAGAGAAGTTTCTCCCTTTCAAAAGCCTCTAAATCAATAATCATACTTTCTATGTAACGTGGAACTCCTGCTCTCTGCTGGACACAACTTTGCAGACTTCAAAGGATACCATCAACTAACATAGCAGGAATCCAGCCCTGACTTTTCAATCAAAGCTGCAAAATTAAGACCTTCAGCCAAAATCTGAATTTAAAGGTTCAGGCCCAGATGCAGTTTTCAACTAAAATGATAACAGAGACCCACAGTCAGGCAGGTGCCACATGAGCAATCAGTTGATTTTACCAGTTGTTTCATGATTCTCCCTTCAACATAGACAAATAGCTACAGCTCATTCAAGACTTCACGGGTTATTTCTGCACACAGCAAGCATATTTGCGAGTTCCATGACTAATTCTTCAAAACACTTTCAATGAACACAACTACCTCCTCTGAGTAAAATTGATTTGCTTTGCACTTCATAGTAGATGGAAAACAACAACTGACTTAAACAAGAGCCTACTTCAAGCAAACTGATATTCAGATATTGTAAACACATGGGATGCTGGTGAATAGACACTGGAATCATACAAATGCAAAATGAGAGGCCTGCATTACTTACGGAAGAAGGAGATTTGATTGAAACAAGATAGATATACACACTATTATCATGTTGATGATGATCACAAGATAAATGGGAATTGAAGTGAAGTAACTGTCCTACACTGGTGACCCTGATGTGTTCCTATCAAGGATCTTCAATGTGGTCAGACAAGAGCACACATCCATCTAATTAAATGGACAAGCACAACTTCACTTTTGTTATGCTTATTCCTAACTTCTGCTCTCTCTTTCATCCCCTTTGACCATCCTTTCTTAGAACTTAGTATCCATATTCCATAGTGTTCCCATACAACTTTAGCTACCATTCCAAGAAAAGAGGTCAACATATACAAGATATGATTATGGATGAAGGAGAATCTAGTAAAGTCTCTACAAGCTTTAATTCAAATAAAGCCTCACAAAAATCTAGTGAAGCCAAGCACACCAAACGTCCTGGCTTCTATGGCTCTTTGAGGAAAGGACTGACTTTTTTTTTAAATAAAAAATTGCAGGGGAGTATGGACTCTGGCTCTTTAACTACAAAGTAACAAGCCACTTTTATATCTCCAAATCAGAAAAGCAACTGAAAGTCTGAATTACTCAATCCCACTAACGGCACTCTGAACAACCAGTTACTGCTCATGTTCTTTGCACATCGTACTTTTGTAATCGCTACCTCCCCTTCTGGCAATTTTGTACAAGTTTTATTTTCTGAAGTGGGGTATTGCCAGGGAGTTACTCTGTAAATATTATTTCTGGAAACGATAGATCACTTCTGCACATAGTGATTAAAAAATTCATAATTAACACCTCGTTACCTCCCCAGGTGTATATTGGCATGTCTACCTATAAGCAGAGCCAAAAAAATTCAGCTGCTAAGTCATTCAGCTTAGCACTGTTCTTTCAGTGAATGTCCTGCTAAATAAATACATTGAAGTAGTGGTAGCTACGAGTTTCCTAAACAAGCAATGGCTGAAAATGAAAATGTGTACCACATAAAACCAGCTATGGTGTATCAAAGGCTTATTCATTTTACCTGAATACATAGTTGATGTACTGTTGGTCCAGATCACTGGGAGAGGAGGGAAAGAAAAAAAAAAAAAAGTGTTCTTTTAGCAATGCAGTTCATTTGGTGTAAGAGTTCAGTACATTAAGTAGTATTATAACACTGTAATATTATATAATATTAATATTATATGTGACACAATATTATAATTGGGTAATGCTAACATTATATTATAATTATACAAATAATATCCATGATCTGTTATTATATTATCAGCATATTAATAAGCGTATTAATTTATGCATCATTTGCACATTATTTCTGTGGTTACTATGTCAGTGGGAGTCTCATTTAAAGTGAAGATAAAGTGAGACTGACTAGAATTTAGACCCTTTAAACATAAACAGAAAACGGTCTTCAAATAAATGAGCTTATCCATATCCTATACACACATGTATTATGTACATATATATGATATGCAGTGGCAACATATCCATCCCCAACCATAGAGACAACTGCAGATAAGAGACACTGTGCACACGTAATGCCACCTGCTTTCAAAACAACTATCGTCTGGCTGAAGTTGTAACACGCACACGGGATTAGTGCAAGGTTTCAAGGTTTTTAAGGTACTCAGCCATTCCAGTCCTGTGGCAAGTCACCAGCTGCTAAACACTTTTCAGACTGTGTCACAAAGGGAGATACTGACAGATTCAAACCATGCAGCTTTCAAGGGTAACACAAACTAACATTTCCTCTTAATGCCTGTGCCAATAATTAGGGGTTCTTTTTCCAGGACTGAGTCATCATCCTTTGATAATACACTGTTTAAAACTAATTCAGTGTTCACGTTAGAAATGTAACTATCAATAACCACATGCTATTGTTATCAACAATAAATAAGACTCCTCTTGCAAGAGAGGTCATTAATGATTAACCAAGAGTGGCTCAGCTCACGCTGGTAACACAGAGAACCCTACAGTTTACCTGACTGCTACACAGATGTCTCTCTAACCCTCTTTGAGAGCAATCTCTTTCTTTTTAGAAGAATATGAAAACACATTACCTTAAAGAGCTAGGTTTCCATAACTTGTGAAATACTTTGTAAGCCCCTGTAATTGAAAAGACATGTGTAATTGCCATAACATGCAATCATTCTGACAAACAGCAGCTTGTTTGGCAGTGGTACCAGCAGATGTGGAACCCCTCTGAATTACAGTTCAGCAACACGGCACAAAGGAAGCCTAAACCGTGAGTAAAATGAACCTTTCACTTCAAATTAATGGTTTTCAAAGTGTTACCATCAGAGTACTGTCGTGCTACGTGTTTTAGCCCTTCTGAAGAAGAGACCACTCCTAGCTTGTGGCAACTGCAAAGGAGCGTGTGTGTGCATACACATACCTGTAAATACCTACAGGAAAGTATCGCAGAATGGGTTCTTCAGCCCACCTCATTTTTTGGGTAACTTTTATGACGTGTTCATCTATGTACACCCCTACAGCTGTTGGCTCTGAGCCATCTTTCCTGTTTAGAGTTCTCTCAGCTCTAGGTTCTTAACATTCTTGACCTACCCACCTCTTGGTTAGCTCTCATTTCTATTCTGGGAAAAGCTTTAAGCACTCAAGGAAGGAACAACACAGCTTCAGGCTCTATTTTTTCAGACCTTTTCTTCAAGGCTTTGTTGGGTTTATTTTGATTTGCAAAGAAAACCAGAAGTTGAAAAGCAAATACGGTAGAACACTATATAATAGATGTCCTCAACTCTGCCTCTGTTAGCCAAGCTGAAGGGTAGAATACATCTCCTTTCTCCAATGCTCTGTCTTGATTAACTGTGTGATAAGTCAGTTCACCTGTTGGCCCTTTCTTGTAGCATCTTTATTCTGTGTTAGTTGATAGGAAATCTAATTACACAACCCCCCCAACAGTCATATCAACAACTTTGAAAAACAAGATAAATGGAAAGAAGCTATATCTTGAGCATAAACATTATGTTGGCACTTCCTACACATTTCAAGCACACAGAAGAGGTGTCTCCTGAAGACTCTCCAAGCAGCTTTCCACCTCCGTGGCCTAGCAGTGTTTTAAAAATGAGACCTCGTGGCTTTGAGAAAGCAGTAACATCACTCGTTACAGCAAACAAGTATTTGAAGTGAAAAATCCTTAGCTTTTTGTTTTATCTAAATGAGCAAACGTTTGTCATATAATATTTCCTAAAGGAAAAAAAAAATTCTATTTTTTCTTATTTGTATGTTAACAAGATTTTCCAATGGGATCTCGAGACCTCCCTAGACACAAACATATATAAATACATAACCTGTGCCCTGAAAATTTTACAGAATGAATACACAAAATAAAGAAGGAATCATCCCTAATTTGCAGACAAGACTTAACATAAGAATGAGTCACTCGCTAAGTCTATAGGACAGCTAAGAACCAAATACAACTCCCTTATTATCCAGCCTAATGCTCCAAAAGACCAAGTCTCCTAGTTAAAAATTACTACTCTGGTTTTCTTCAGTTTTTCTGGGTCTGACCGTTTCTAGCTTTCCAGGGACGAATTATGATTTATCCAAATCAATGTTTAGCTTGAAAAAGACAAAAAAACCCCAAACCCCTAACAGGTCATGCAACTCATTGTTAAAAATTTTTAAAAATGCATACTATTGCAGAAAAAAACCCAACATTTCAAAATCCTTCCTCTGGGAGCATATCCCATGATATTTTAGAATATTTTTGTCAGTTTTTAAATAAAATCAGTGTGTGCAATAAAGCTCCAACTACAAGTTATTGCTTGTTTTTTTTCATGTTTCTTCTCCCATCAGAAAGAAGTGTCTCTTAGTAGGCAAACATCAAAAACTCCTAGAAAAGCTTAGTGCTGACTAAAATTGTATGTACATTTTCTCATCCACTGTTAACTGACTGCAATATCTTAGTTTATTCTGTTGTTGTTTTCAATGTAAAAGCTATAAAAGGAACACACTTCCTTATCTTTACTGATCTTCTTCATTCTTTCCAAATGTTTCTTACATCAAGAACCTTAAATATCAGTAGCTTCATAATAACATGTTTGCTTCTCCAGCACATTTACTTTTCCTGATTCTTTTTCCAGAAGAAAATTACTTACCAACACAGATCAAGTGAATTAGAGCCCATAAATAACCGTTCGGATCAAACTGCAATAAAGAACATCTACATAAATAAATGCACATTCATGTAAACATACATATTGCTATTTCCCCGAAGACAGCGTCACAAAGCAAGAACAGCGAGTGGGAGCTATGCTACAATGAAAGAGAAGATGACTGAAGAAGACTAGGAAGACTACCTGGCATATGCCAGTTACCCAGGCTCTCAGCTAGTCTTGGCAAGGATAGCTCTATTTCTTTCAGATATGCATGCTATTTCAAAACATCTGAGAACATGGACTTCAATCTGCTTAGTCTTGTATTGGCAGTCAGGGAGGGGCAAAAGGATCAGAGGAACATCATGAAGGCTTTTGTCTTGTCTCCTTTCCACTCTCAGCCCCTGCAGCAGCTAAGCAGTCTCTCTCTCCCCAAGGCGCTCACTAACCACAGCGTATCCAAACGAGTGCTTTAAGGAGACATCTGCCTATGAGCAAGGTAGAGTCTCTTCACAACCAATGGGGAAAAAGAAACATTTTTGAGAGGAATTTTACCTGGTATATTTTAGCTGTCTGCTTTCAGGGGAGATGAATTATACACCAGAAGCTCCTGCTCTGCATCACGGACTATGAAGGGAGCTACCACAGGTGCAACACTTCTGATAGCTACAGTTCATCAGATGCATTCAGAGAAGTTCCTAGATTCATCCCACCTGACTTCAGATATTAACTAAAGTATCTAAAAAAAGGAAGCAGCCTTCCTAAGTCTTCAAAAGAGAAAAGCACCTCCAAGGAATAGATCTTTCCTGGACTGAGCTACTCTCTGGAGATACTTCCTTTCTTTCTCCAGTAGTGTGTACAAAGCTAATTTAGGAATCTCCTGAAAGTCCATGCAATTAACTCAAACATATATGATTCACTGAAGAGCTGCATGTCTGCACTGCTCAGAGGTTTTACCATGACGCAAACACATTAAAACCAGTAAGACTACAACACACCACTAGGCAACATTTACAATTCATTTGCAGGAATCCCACCCTAGCTTACAAGTAAAAGCTGCATCCCTCACATGCTAACAAGATGTCAAACATCAAGGTCTAACCAGAGCTGCTTTACAAAGCAGAGCTCACCTGTGTGTCACATAAAGGAAGGCACGCTGCTGCTACAAGGAGGAACAGCACACTGTGGAGAAGAGAAAAAACCCAAAGACCAAAAGCTCATAACCCGGATTTGTATTCTCAGCCAAGTATAGGCAGTTCCACACAATTTTACACTGACATTTCATTGCTTAATTTTTATTCCATATTTAAAAAGTAATTTCTGCTACCAAAATTAATTTTTACATCATGCATTCCTCGTAACCCATACACAACGTTGTACAAGAAGAGAAGCAGCACAAAACATCTCAGCAGCGATGAAAACAAGTTTTTTGGTAGGAAATATTATTCTTCACTTGCCATCTGGCTTCCTGAGGCTGCTTCAGAAAGCCAAAATCAACTAATTTCTAGCTGTGAATGGCTACCAAAAAGTTCTTTCATTAAGTTGAATAGCCTATTACAACGATTCCAGCATAGGTGACTCCATTCAGAGTTGTGGTGTAACTCCAGAACACAGCAGAGTGGGAGTGAGTGGTATTATGCTAGAAATGGCTTAAGGACAGCACAGATCTTCCCCTAGTTCACTGACTTGGACTAAATAAATTCTTAACCTGTGGCTGAGTCAGTATTTCTAAACGCTATGCTGAATACACTGATGTGGAATTTCTGTGCACTGTCACTATTAATAATAACAAACATTTGCTTTTGAAGCTTATTTTCCTGCTCTCTAGGGGCATAGGAAAAGACAGAATGAAGATGACAAAAAACCTGGTACCCTTGACAATAATCCAGTGGTGAAAACAAGGCCACAGTAAGTCAGATAATGGAAACGACAGGAAGAAATTAGGAAGATGGTGCCTCTAAGTACACTAAATAATAAACCCAACGTTATCCACTCTAAGTACAGCTAAAAGATTACAGAATGTGGAGGATAGCAAATATGTGTTCTTCAAGGAGATGGGGGGAAGAATGAAACTTTTAATACATGACTGCCTGACTTTTCTTTGTCCCTTTCTATCTCCTTTTTGAAGCCTAAACAACTAGGGCCAACAAGGGTTGGTAGGTTGTGGTTGCTTAATATGAATGATTCTAGCAGAACTGGATACCATTCACTTTTTCTTTCCTAGGAATGGCATTTTTAGCTATTTTCCATCATATTAATTATCTTTCTCTTACTGCTAAGATTACCCACTGGAACTTGAAGCCTGATTTCTATCTCCTTTCCAAAAACATACATACAAGCACTGCTTTGTTATTGAGGAAGACTGGACTTCTGGCTTTTTTCATCTTTATTAGAAGAAAAAAAAAAAAGGAGCTATTTAAGCAACTGATAAAAAACCCCAGAAAATACATTTTAAAAATATTCAATTACTCCTATGGCCTATGCTGCAATTTAGGCTCACCACCCATGGGAATATGCCTCACATTCTTCACTGTTTTGGTGTGCCATTATCTGAAGCAAATACAGAAGCTGAAGCCAAAACAAGTCTGAATCTGAATCTGAGCAGTTTTAAAAGCTTACCTACAGACTTTCAGATGAGAGATCTGCTGTAAAAAAGAAAGTATGATTAAAAAAATTAAAATTTAAAAATAAAAATTGTGAAATAGTGCTTTTTTCTTCCAAAACCAGGACAGTGATGACAGCTGATCTTACTGCACCAAACATATTAAAAATCCAGCTAGCAGCATTCAACAGCCCATTACATTTGAGAACTGCTTAGCAAATTTAAATTGAAAAAAAGAACCATGACTACAGATTAGCCTATTTCAACTTTTGATTTATATTTTCAGATTACTTACAGCGGGTAAACTTAAAACCAGACATAAACTTTATACCCAGACCTCAAACTTAACTTGAACTATACAAAAACTATGTATTGTATGTACTCCAATATTGAGTATTCTTAATCAGTAAGGTACTACCCCAGCCAAATCCGTCTCAGTCTAAACTCATGAAAGCTTCCCAATCCTTTGGTCCAAAATTATTCTCAGAAGCTTCCCAGCAAGACCTGGGTTTGCATTATCTTTGCCCATAGTGCTTTTGTTTTGTAAGAGAGGAGACATAAACATGTGAGCTAGAAGGAAAATATGAAACACTGACAGGGACACTGATCAGAGGACAATGCCACAAGGACACGCCATGGTACGCATTGCTATGTCCCTCGGGCATGACCTTAGTGACCTCTTCAGCTTGTTAGGAGTAGCAAACACAGGCCATTTATTTGTCGTCTATATAAACAACAGAGGTAATGAATGGAAGATCCCTTCTACAGCAAGCCAGGGGCCACTGTAGAAAGGACTTTGTGATGAATGATTTCCCGGTGTTACGTCACACAGCAGCTCTCTGGTCAATTAGAAAAGCATTTCATAGCCTAAAAAGAAAGATCCCCAATGTAGTTTGTGAGAAACAAACCCAGCTTTTACTAAAAGGAGCAGGAATTACTCTCCTGACTTGAATAGGTCTTGGGGTAGATTCTCAAGCATTCACAACAAATCCAAGAATGCACCATTTCTCCTGCGTTTCACGTGGCGATGCGATCAATCTATAATCATACAATACATCAAATACTAGATATGTCATACTGGTTAGATCTAAGGACCCAGTCCTCCTCCCTCTCAGCTCAAACAGTGAGATTCTTACGTGGGACATGAGAGAGAGGCAATATTAATTTTCAAAAGGAAAAACCAAGCAGGACCAAGCCAGTCTTAAAAATGCAGATTGAACTGTTGATACACATTTGCGGTGTTTCATCAACTAAAGGGGAAAAGAAGACATCAATATAGATACTTGGCAGCAGCAAAGCTCTCTCTGGGTCTCATTAATGACTAGCTATCACAGCGAGACTAGAAAAGCACACAGCACTAATGTCCATATTAAAAGAAATTAGGTGTCTTGTTATAGGGCAATTATATCACAGGAGGTACCTTGAACGTATCAATTAATAGATCAATTACCTCTTTCTGCACAAACTTCTGGAACCCACAGGTTATAACTTCTGCCGCGTTGTGCACGGTGAGGAACACCGGGATTGGCTGCCATTGGGAGAGAACAAAAACACCCAAATCAAAACAGAACAGTCACACACATAGGAAGGAGCACTCATCTTAGGGACAGCTGTCCCACATGTTTGTGGGTTTGGGTTTTGTTTTGTTTTTAAGCTGTAAACCCATGCCACAGCTCCTAAAAGGGACTTAGACCCATTCCAATCACTATCACACAACACAGGCATCTTTAAATGCAGACCCTGCTTGCTGCTTCTCCCACTTCCGAGTGCTCAGTCGGTTTGTTTGTACACAGCTACCTCGGTGAGATTTGCTCCAGGTTTCTGCCTCTACTTCTGCCTGTTCAAATATCTGCAGTCTCCATAGTAAACAGTTCTCATTAGTTTTCCCATCTCTGTCTACTGCAACTAAGAATACAATGTGACTCCTAGCAACAGAATTACGAGCAAGATGATTTTAGGTGATTGCTTTCAGTTACTGCTAGGAAGAGCTGCCTGAACTTAGGGTAGAAATGTAATACTTCATACACAAGTGATGTCGAAATTATACCCACTGAGGTATCTGGACACCATCCCAACATGAAATCATTAAGAAACAAACCCCGATGATAATAATAATAATAATGAATCAAACACCCATTCCCCCAGGCAAACCCAACCAGAATTAGTGGTTCATAATACTTCCTCCAAATCAGATCCATGGTCTCTCAGACTGTTGAAAGAGAGGCAATTCCCTGCTCCGATTAAGATAATCTAAAGACTAAGGCAGTTTTAGGAAGCAGTGTTTCCCCACTTTTGTATAGCGTTTAAATCACACGAGTAGAGAATGAGTAAATTTCTCAGTGATGTCCATACCTTTTAAGTATCGGGCAATATAAGCAGGAAATATCTCTTAAATTTGACTTTGTGTTCAGAAATCTCTATTTTCCGGATTTTTCTTTTCATTTCCATAAAGCTGGATAAGCATCGCTAATTAAACATTTTAAGTCATAACGACAAGTTGGGTGGATCCATAAACACAACAGTTACACCAAGGTGACTTTTAACACCTCTAAATTAGCAAGGAATGAAAATCACACAAACACCACTGGCATGAAGTTGTCAGCCTCAGCTTCACCGATTCTGAAAACCAATTCTCAACCCTGTTGCTGGACAACTGAGAACATAAAACCAGAAGTATCTAACATAAGCATCCCGAGCCTGACACAATAATAGGAAATACAAGAAATAATCATACACAAGGAAAGTTGACAGCAGAATTTACATTCTTCCTTTTGTAAAGCCAATTTACTGGGTTTTTCTTTCCTCCCCCCTGCTTTTGGCTCTTCCAAATGTGTTTCAGAGCCAACAATGGCTCCAGTTTGCCTAGCCCAGTTAACCTTCTCCATATGTCTATTGTCTTTGAAGTGAGTATTTCTTAAATTTGTGAGTGAGCTTAATGCTTACGAAAATAAAGGTTTACTGGTTGGGCAGGCAGGGTGAATAGACCCTGTACAAACCTCCCTTCGCAGCTCTGCATACTTTTGTTAATGCATCACAGTCCAGAGCAGCCCTCCTCCGGTTCCAGCCCTGAACTCCTGGGGAGGGCAGACTGCCTGCACCTCTAGGGAGAGGCACAAACAGAGATTAAAACTGTAGCCCTGCCAGTATACAGGGGTGTTTGAAAGAAGGCCTCCCTGGCTTTGATCAAAAAAGTGCACTAATTGCTGCTTTAGGAGTAAACCCACTTTTCAAACAGCCTGGTGAGGGGAGCCAATTCAGGTATGAGTTTGGGAGAGTCCATTTCACTTCTCACTGCACCATAAATTTGTTGTACGCAGTTACTGTAAGTAAAGCTCCTATGTAGGATTGAATTTAGCCCCAGTACAAGGCATTACATAATAGCTATGGCCTAAGACTACTTGTCCTTTTGTCTTTCCTCCTAAAATAGCCACAGAATTAGGCCTCTAAATCCCCACTTATGTACAACAAAAAGCCATTCAGAAATGGGAGATGTTCCTTAAGAAAGGTTTGGGATACAAATCAAAACCATTCACAGCCCCTCTGTCGCTCCAGTGCATCTCACTCTTAAATGACCAGAGCAGGGACAGGAGGGAAACAAGGTAGCTTGCAGGATGACTAGGAAGTAAGGCAAAATAGCAGAGAGGATGTGATTCGTACCTCCTCCACCGCCCAGGTGAGCAGACAGAAAAGATGCTGCTGCCAAGGCTTTATTGCTGTTTCCAGACAGACCTCTCCTTCGGGATCTCAGTTTACACCAGGGAAGCCCATTGGAACTTGCTTTGATGAGGAACCAAGAGGAAGTAAATGCAATCACCCCGAGACAGAGCTAATGGGGAGGTATGGGGATTCTTAGCACATGTCTGTGCTTTCCAAAGGTCACTGGGGTCCGAGATGAGGCCTCCAGCCTTGTTTGTGAGGACAGAGACCTCCTGTCCTTTGCTGCCCTACCCCTCCAGTGGGACGTTCAAGGGATCACTACAAGCAGATACTTGTCAAAAATTCCCTTTTGATCCTTCTTGGGGTTTAGGAGCTGGCAGAAGCGAGCAGGGTCTGGAATTAGATTAGGATGCATTGACAGAATGCAGAAAGGAACTAGTGCAGAATCTGGCCTTGCAGCCTGCATAACAGCAGTAAAACATTGCTGTTTTTTAAAAAAATCATGTCACCACCTTTTTTGGTTTTGTTTTTTGTTTTTTTAAGAAAGACTATCATTTAAGTAAAAAGCATTCAACTTTAATGAAAGCAGATTTGACATCCTCTAAACATTTGGTAGGCCATTGTGATTCAAATGGATCATAAAACTGCTTAATCTAACCCTTCCCATAATCTCTTTCCAACTTTCAATTTGTTTTTTCAAATCCTTAAAGCACCAAAAGCCTCCCACTGAAATGGTCTTCATCCTTTTCCTGGAAGGATTTCCCACAGATCCCACAGCCCCATTCCCCCTCTTGCAAAGTGACAGCCAGTAACTTCTTCAGCTTCTTCCCTACTTGCACAGTTCAGACCACTGAGGATCTATCCAACAAAACACTGAGTACTCTGGAGAGATGCTGAGTGCTTTGGACTGTCACGGAATTGCTTTTTGATACTGCTTTACACATCGTAGAATTGGACTGCTGCTCTAGCACCATTAGCAATGTATGTATTATTTAAACCCCTCCTTCCTTCCTTCCCCCTAAACCAGGAACAGCATTAAACACCCTGTATGAAGGGAATGTTCTTTGCTCGTAAAGTAGAGGTAATGAAGAACTGACTTCTACTTGTGCATTTCTTACCAATCTAGATAGTGCCCTAGAGCCAGCATAAATAATGCCAACAAACAGTACTGAAGCAGGAAGCCATGATAGGATTTCAGACCTGTGAAAACAATTAAAATCCTGTTACTTCACCACATTCTGTTTATATACAGTCAGCAACAGTTGCTTGCAAGGAATATAATACGTATATATAGACATATATTTCAAAGGTGTGCATATTAAATTCATTGCCTGATTGTTTAGTATTCCTCCCATGTAGTAAAGAAGTCTGAGACAGAAATTAATCACTCCATCTAATCCTAGATAGGAGCTATCTGCAGATATATTTTCTTTCTTTTACTCTGTCCCTGTCTCCTCTCCCTGCAAAATTGTTTGCTTCATAGCAATTACTCCTATTGGTTTTGAGGGAGAGAAATTTCAACTAATTCCCTTGATGCGCTGTAAAAGGAAGAAAAATTGACAAATGAAGGCATAAAATGGCATACTTGCACAGACAGCACACATTTTCACTATGTACAAATACACTTGCCCACCCACACATTCATTTCTCAGCCAGATTTACGAAGAGATTCTTCCTAAAGATCAAATTGCCTCTGTGGGAGCCTGTCTCTGGAGATTTCCTAATGATACTCTTTTGACTAAGCCAAACTCCTAGAGGCAGTTTGACAACTAATGGAGGAATGAAGTCATCACAGACTGATCTGATTTTTTTTTTCAGCTGTGATTATTGCAGTAGGGTCAGGTTTCAGTTCGGAGAAGGGGCTTCAGAATTTGCACTTTTCCTTTTTCGATCTTGGTACTTAAGGGGAAAATGGGATCAGGTAGGTGGTAAATTTCAGAGAGAATAAGGTAAGATTTTGAGCAAGGGAGGAAAGGAGTAGCAGTGATCTAAAGGCCTGATCCAAAGGCTTCCCACGACTGAGGACACTGCTACCCCCGTACACTCTTCCTGAGCTTTGACTTAAAGTCAAGAAAATGTTGGCGAATATTGCTCAAAAGGAAACCAAACTACTTGTAGTTCCTTAATTTGGTTTATACTTCCAACTAGCATGTAAGAGTTAAAATGTAATTATAGGTACCACTACACTACCACACTTCATGGAACACAAGAAAAATAGACCACTAAACAATGAAATTAAGAACAGTCTGAATGAAGATAAAACATGCAAACTCTAAGAAAAAAACCTAATCATCATGTTTCCTCTTTCTTTTTAATACAAAATTTTCTAAGACACTTGATCAAAAACTCCGGATAACAAAAATAGAGTAATCTTTAGATCCTTTCACTGGCATAAATATTCGCTCTGGTTTTTTGGGGTAGTAGTCACGATCATTTTTTTTAAAAACATTCTTCCTTTTAAGGTTATTGTCTTCAACTGGAATTTCACCAAGACCAGGATCTAAAACTGTCATACCTCATTACCAACGAATTCACATCAGACACCAACAAAAATATGTCCACCCTATTGGAACTGCAACAAATGAAGAAAGGGGGAGGGAAGAAAAGAGAGGAATCTGGGAAGATGAAAGGAACATGCGATGAAAACTGAATTTACATTTTGAACCTAACACTCTTTCATGTTCCCCACCACTAAATTCTAGGAATCCCAAATGTATCTTCATCTCCAATGCAATACTGCAAAGCGCAATGGAAAAGGACTTCAGATGCTTTTTCCATGATGTAAGGGTAGAATTTTATGCTGCCAAGTGGGAATGTCAGGACTGAAAAAGAATGCATGGATGTTTGATGTAACGTGTCAGCACCAACAATCTGTCTTGTATGTAAACCAATTAGCAGCTTCTTATGTTGGCAATACAGTGATGTACATGCAAAACAGGAAAGCTCAGTCACAAAAGAACTGATGAGCTTGTGGTTGTAAGGCTACATCCAAAGCCCACTAAAGTCAATGGGTAGCTTCCCCTAAACCACACTTTGGAGCTTTGGTTTAAGCAAGGCTCTGAGATGGTGCTTAGCTGTGGGGCAAATTCAGCACCAGAAGAAATGCCAACCAGAATACATAGGACTTACATGCGTACAAGGGTTAGTCAGAAGCTGGGCAGCAGATTGCAGCACTGGAAGCATTATGCAGATGCTACACATATTCCTCTGTGCTCCACTGAGCCCTTGTTTTGGATACAAGTTTTGCAGACAGTCACCCTTCACCTTTTAGAAGCAACGATGATGGTGACAGAGTCCCTTACAGCTGGGAGCACTGGGGGGAAGCAGATGAAAAGCAGGATGTCCACAAAACTTAAGAGAAATTACTCTAAGTAATACGGTGGTTTTTGGTCTTTACTGTGAAGCTAGTATTCCGGACTTTAGACAACGGGTGATGATCTCTCTGTAATAAAATAATTCTGCTGAGACACTTTGGGATAACCTGATCTGGCTCAGAAAGCATATGAGATCAGCCCACATGACAGAAATACCGAGATTTTACGGAAATAAACAGAGAGATGGGTAGCAGGTTATTATTTGAAGCATGACAAGACTGACGACTGGGCATGGTATTCTTAAGTATCCTATACATATACACACAAAAGATGTAAAAAGGGGGAGGAGGAGCTTGAAAGGAAGAGGTAGATGTAAGTTTTGAGACAGTATGTTTGTTGGGGAGTTTTTTGATTGGTTTGGTGGGGGAAGGGATTTGAGGGTTTTGTTTTATTTTGTTTCTAATACGGGAGATATATGCTACAAGCCCAGTTCAGCAAAGCATTGAAGCATGAGCCTAATTCTTCTGAAAAAAGATAGATTTAAACTCATGCTTAAGTAGTTGGCTGAACTATAGCCAAAACATGTCAATTAATTCTGGTCATTTCATTCAATCTGTTCTAGAGCTGGCATTCTGTATTAGCTAAATGAATGAAGAGATTTCTCAAAATGTACTTTAATCACTTTTCCTATAGTGTGCTGACATCTAGTGGCCTGAAGTCTCCATTGTCAAAACACAAACTAATTTTTCATCAAAACTTTTCTTAGATAAAAACATCCGCTTCAACAGCAGAAAATCGGTTTTGTCCAGTATTTTCTTTAATGTCTTCCAAGTTTTGAAAAAATGAAAATATCTTTTCCCAGAGGGGAAAAAAAGATTCAACTTCTTTAATTTCATGACTAAAGCAAAAGTAATCATCTAGTGATGAAAAGTTGAACTGAAAAGGACATTACTGACGGCTGTATTCTTTTGTCCTTTAGACCATTCTGTAAAGACAAAATCTGCATAAACAATATACATTTGATAATAATGTATGTACCGGTAACTGCCACTAAAGCAAGGTTTGGACCCTAATCCTGCCTCCATCAATATCAATGGCAGCTTTTACACCAATATCCTTGTTTTATCTACACTGCTGATAAAAGGTAGGAAGTTAAATTCTGTTTCCATTTACAACTTGACTTAAGTTTCCGTGGTAATGTAGTCACTTGCGTGGACATGAAAACAGAACTTAGCCTGGTTCTTCTGACATACATGAAGGATCTCATTCCAAATGAGGAGATTCAGTTTTGCAAGCCAACTGTGTGAATCCCAAACAGAAAATTTATCGGTTGTCACTTGCTAATACAGAAGTGCTGAAAAAATTTACATTAGAAGGGAACTCTGGCAGGCACCTAGTTCAATCTCCCCCCAACTTCAGAGTTAAGTCACACTACTCAGGTCATTGTCCAGCAAAGTTTTGAGTATCCCCAGAGATGGAGATTCAACAACTGCTGTGGGCATACAACTTCTAACATTTTGCAAAGTAAAAAAGATACTCCACCTTCCACACTGCAGAATGGATCCACTTGAGAAGACAGTATGCTGGATGACTCTTCTGAGTTGCTGTCACACTCAATTCAGGCAGATAATCTTTGTCTACAAAGCACCTTTTAATTTGGAGTTTGATTATTATATCAATCCTGTACTGCAATGGCGGCTCTTGCTGTGCGGCTGTAAATGCTAGAGTTAGGCAAGGGTGAATGATTCCCATTTATGGGACATACTTCTTGGAGAAAAAGGCAGATCACATTTGTGGACTTCACTGCACTGAGGTTTTGGGGAAGTGTGTGGCAATGCTCTCAACTGACATTACCAAGGTTTCTCTTATAATACTATAAAATAATCCAGGGAAGACATGTGGTCAGATGGTTGGATAAGTTATCCTTATAGTTTTCTCTAATGGCTATGCTTTTTTGATTGCTTTACCAAGGTGAAATTGAATCCACTTTATATTAATAATCAGTTGAAGTGCACGTCATTGAATATTCATTAGACTAAACCACAAGATCTCTCCTACACCTGTGAAGCAGAACACATACAAACACACACACGCTGACTTATATTTTAGCAAGTTAGTAACTTCCACAATCAACTTAACTATGTCATAATGCATTTATGTCATAACGTATTTAGCAGATATGGAAAATCCCACAGTACCTTGAAGACAAGTTTATCTCCACCCAGCCCAGCTTCCAGGACACATGAAGCAGAAGTCCACCCACTAACGTCTGCCACCTGAAATAGAAACAAAACAGCACCTCTGAATTGTTTGTCCTTTTTAACCACATGGAGCATGACCTTAGAATCCACAGAATTTCTCACAGGACACCCATGACTCTAGCTATCTACTGTTTTTCCAGGTTACCAGGGATGCCACTATTCCCCTTTGAATCTTTCATTTTTGTGGGCCTGCATTTCCTCCAAATTTTCTAATACTCTGGTTCTTCCATGTCCTGTTTCAAATGTTTTGTAAGTCACCATCTACCACAACTACCTTAGTCATGCTTCTGAATCCCCATTTTATCATCTCTTCCTACACAAGGTTTACAATAATAAAAGCGGTGTTACAGCCATGATGATCTGAAGATGCGAGGCAAGGTTTGTGACATGAATACCTTTTGATAGACAAACTGTTATTGTTAGAACAAATAAACATGATTTCAGGATTTGGAGATGTGCTTCAGCTGAAGTAATAAGCCCCAAGGATGGCATGTAGTCCTAGTAGTTTCAAACATTAGTTCTATGACTTGCCATGGTTACTCATGCTGGGCTTAGATTACAAACTCCCTCGAACTCAGACTGCTTTCCTCCCCGGCCTGCATCTTGTGTAGCAAGCACCAAGTGAAGTGTCATCAACAATAACATCATTATGCTGCATGAGCCTCTGGTTCACATCCTCTAGAGAAAACATCTTTACAGCCAGATAAGCTTGCATATAAACCACAGTACTGCGGTCTTCTCATAGAAAAGGTATATAACAATTACATACATTCTGCATTGACTTCTCTATCTAAGGGCTTATTCTACCATAAAGGCGTTCCTTAGTCTATAATGGAAATAGTATGTGAGGCCTTAGAAATGCTTGTGGGTAACTTAAAATTAGCAGTGTTTTTTTTTAAGGTTTAAAATAAATGATTAGCTTTCTTCTTCCTTAAGCTAGTCATTTTCAGAGATGTGTTTCAAGCTTCTTGGGTGAAAATCATTGAACATCTAGCATAGTTCAGAGATACTATAATACAGTGTTAAATCACATTAACATCTGTAACAGGTATAGAAGCAGTTTTATTTATTATTCACATTGATTGCAATGCATTTAAGTAATTATTTAAAATCTCTCTCACACATATGCAAATAAACAAATATTCACTCTATGCAGTATCACAACTGTAGTTGGACAGTGTCAGAGAAGAGCAAGTTCATTGTCTACATGGGTGTGATGAATATTCAGCGCTACTATCACAGCTCGCTTCACCTTTTTTAGATGAGGAGCATATGAGAGCTTAAAAGCCAGGTAACCCTGATGTTTGCTGCAGGCTTGACTGTGCTCTATTCCAAGCCAGTGATGAATTCCCACCAACTTCACTGTGAAGAATTTCCTCTTGTCTCAGGTTTTAAGGACAGAAGTTGAAGTTAGTAACAATTCCAGATGCTTAGCACTATGCAGTACAGTCTTAGGTTATACAGGCAACAAAACCAACAACAACAAACAATAACAGCGTGAACTGAGAATAACACTCTTTTCCTCCTTTGCTCATCTAAATGAAAGTGCATCTGAGCCACTTAATAATTTTCTAGGAAAGGTAACCTTTAAAAGCCAGAACTTACGGAAAAATATTAAGATGCTGAGATGTATTTCCAAATAATAGAAAAAAAAAAATAACTGTGGTAACATAGATACCGTAACTCAGTTGTTTGCCCTTGAAATACGCCTTTTTACTGTTGATTTACCACACTTGTATTTCACATACATTACTCAAAACTCTGTCCCCATCTGATAAAAGCCTTGTCCAAAAGACAGTTTCTGTGTTTGTATCAGAACTGAAGAAAGCATTTGTTGCTTATTTAATAGAGCTGAGTATACTCAAAGCAAACAGAGATTCCCAAGGCAATTATTCCTATAGTTGATTGCAGTCTTGGGGCTGCACGTCAGGCAAAAACATAAGCCATGCTAAGCAGCAGTAAAGGAATTAAAGATAGCCAGTGTCTGCAGACTTTACCGTTACCTCAAAAGAACAAGTGGGGGAAGTCTTGGCTTTAAGGGGCCAGATTTTCACTAAATGTCTCACAAATTATTAACAGCACTGATGTTATATATGGATATTTGATAAAACATTAAACTTCTAATTACAATAATTAAGATATGATAGTGATTGTGATGCAGAGTTACAACAAAGGCTAAGCATGAAAATAAGCAACATGGTATTTGTCTATGCCTAAACATGGGTTTAAGGTTGGTTTTCATTAGGATAGCAGAAGAATACACCACTACCACACATTATCCATGAGTGCCATTTCCAAAGAAGACGGGTTGTACTATAACTGCTACTTTTCTATGCTGAAGCATAAGACTTTCAGAAAAATGAGAAATGATGGAGTCTACAAATCTTAATTGCATCACCATCATGTTGTTCAAAAATTAACCAAGACACGTTAATGAATGCTTTAGTAAGGCTTCATGAAGTAAGTTTTCTAGACAGCAAAAGCCAGTAATGACAAGAGGTACTATCATTAGCTTCAGCATAGAACAGCAAGACATTTACTGATTAAAGTCATTTTTCAAACAACTGTATTCTTAAAACAGTACTTACCCTTGAAAAAGGGTAGGGTAGGTAAATTTCAGGACAGACAGGACATACTGGAAAACAAATACCAAATTAATGGACATCAAACACCTACAGCATTGTAACATTAACAAACAATCACGAGAGCAACAAAACACAAAAAGTTTCTATCAAAATAAAGAAAAACAAAAAAAAAACAAAAGAAAGTTTTCAGTAATTTCTCTTCCCACGCTAGAACTGCTGGACACTGCCCCAGTCACTGTGGAAGGTAGCAGACACTAAAGTACATGAGGTATGGAGTAGACACACTGAACGATGGAGAGAAGGCTACCTTCTGAATTGCTCTTTCACTTTCTGAGCACACTCCACGCATCACATTGAACAGGAGAAGGATTAACAGGAACGAAAAGACATAAGCGCTTGTCAGTTAAAACTGTATCATATGAAAGAGGCAATCTTTAGCAGAATCCAAACCAATAATATTAACACAATTGTCTCCTGAAGATTAATTCATCTTACAGATCTAACACTCTCTGTTCATACACCATTTTGCGTAAAATATTAAGCCATCCATAAAGCCCTTTGGAGATGTAATATATGGGGGGAAAAAGCAAAGCCTCTGTGTTGTTGCTTTAGTAACGCTTTGTCAGGGTCTGTGCGCATGGATGCTAGTGTCTTTTCCCACTATAGATGTATATATGCAAATATGAGGCAGAAATATTTCGATGTGTACATCAGGATCTAACAAGTACCCATAATGAAGTATATAAATACTATTTCTGCAAAGGAGAAGAATGACCGAAGCTTCCTCCGAGGAAAGGAAAGGTACCTGCTGTTCCTTCCAGGAGCCAGCAGAAGTTGTCAATGGCAACAGGAGGAGCTGAAAGCTTTCAACAGAGAGGAAACTGTGCTGAGCACTTTGCAAGGTCCAGTTTTCAGGTGTGGCGCGTGTCACTAAGGAGCTGATATCATCACACAGGGACAAGGCATGTTGATTCACAACGGGTCATGTTATACATACACTTGTCTGAATTGCCACAAGGGTTTTAAATCAGGATGATACATCTGCATGTGCCTGTACCTCCATTTGCATTTACATACCACCTGCAACAACTGAAAGATCTATATCCCGGTTATTTTTCACTTTATTACACTAACACCTACATTCAGGTTTGAAAATGGAGGCCCTGTATCAAATTCCTTCCGACTTCCTCTCAAGTATAGTTAAGCCAAGCACTTTTCCCAAATGCATGATGCAATCTGGCAGCTCTTCCAGCCCCTTTCTGTTTAACTAACCACTGCTCCTAGCGGTCTGTCAAGCCAAGTGTATTATCTCTCCCAATGAACTTTGCTTCATGTCTGGACTTCAGCCTACTTCTGGGCATCCTTAATGTTTCTGAACAGAAACCAGCGGCCAATGCTGAGATTTCATTTTCACCTCCAAAACGCTGCTTTTCTCTTAACTCTCCCTCTGGAAAACCATACCCTAGTTCCTTCAGAAACGTATTTTCTTTCAGAAATCTGCACCAGAAACACAGACACACTCTCTAATAAATAGGACAGCAAGGAGTAGTTACTCTATCTCTTCCGCCCAGAGCAAACAAACTACTTCAAAGTATGTTTAAACTATACATTCTTATTCACAGCATGGCCATCTTCAGCCTACTTCTCCTTCTCTTTTAGACCTTTCAGCAATACTAACAGGCTGGTAAGTTGTGCAGTGGAAAAGAGATTTCATGTCCTTAATTTGCAGGTTAATTAAGCTGTCAAAGGGTTCGTGGAAGTTAATATCTGTTTCACTACTACTACTACAACGCTTCAAGTATTTTGGACTTTTTCGCCTGGATACTCAGTATTATTGCCCCAGTTAACAGATCTTGTTTTGTGGTTGCTAGATACCTGATAAAATACATTCAGCATCACCAATGCTTTCAAAGCAGTGCAATTTCTGGCTCTGTAACTTAACATTTCATTCACTTGAGTAAGACGATGTCACCCTTTTACCCCCCTAAAGACGCCAGCAGTGAAACCCCTGTGTCCTGCAAAGGCAAAGACGCCACAGGCTGAGAAAAAGCGAGAGGGGCAGAAGGCAGCAGCTCCTCAGCTACCACGGCACCCGGGGACGGGCGGCGGCGGGCCCTCGGGCTGAAATGCCAGGGGGTTTCCTACACCCGTGGGGC